TTTTTCTCTTCATTCCCCAAAATAAATAAATATACCAATTTTAGGAAAAGTAAGGAAGTTTGAGCAGTGTGGGTTTTATATTAACAGAGTTACACATATTTCAAAACGCAAAGTGTAATAACTACAGTTTGCCTCCCTGTCAGAATGACAAAGATCCTCAGTGAAGCTCAAGCCCATGTTTCTCACTATGTAAGTACAACTTATTAAAAAGATCAGTTCAATGCAACTAATGTCGTCTTAGTGTTATTGCATGATGTTAAAATTGGTTTGCCATGAATTTAGTGATGGATTGTAAATATTTGAAATATAGCATTTAAGTGTTTCTCAGTTACAAGGTTGTTGTTTTAATAAATCAGACACTGGTGGTGTTGCGCTGTGCTGTACCTCTTTATAGGCTTTTTTTCCTTTACAAATAGTTTTTGCGCTGATCAGGGGGTACTTGGCTGCATTTTTTTTTCAAAGGAGGTACATGATTGAAAAAAGTTTGAGAACCACTGTACTAGATAGTTCCGGAACTAAAGATTTCCGGGGAACTAAGTTCCGGGAACTATTCCTGGGAAAAGTACTTGGTGTGAAAGCGCCTAATGATGTGAGACACAGTGTCAATTCTCATGTCGATAGAATCTTACCGGAGACTGGTGATCCTCCTCGTAGAGGTGGCGCTGGGTTCTCCTGACTACTGAGGGGTCAGAACCCATAAATGGGATGGCATACTGCTCCATCTCCTTGCTGAAAAACACAAAACCCCTAGACACAAACAAACAGACAAACCCAATTATAAAAAGAGAAAGCAGAGTTGAAACTCCTCTGGAGGGAACACAGGGATTTGATCCTTTGTAGACCATTTATATGGACAAAACCCTATACTGCATAATAGGGCCTCTGAAATACATTTCAGTGGGATAGTCCCTCTGCTGTGCACTAAAGACACACAACGTACAGCTTCCTTGACTACTTGCTGCCAAGCCCTACATTCCACTAGAAAACATTTAACACAGTGTTTTAGCCAATTGCTCAGTTATAGCTTTACCGCTTTTTGACTTTGGCTCCCACTACAGGCAGTGGCTTTTGGCCAAACTTCTTCCTCAGCTGGCGGAGGGATCCGCTGTCTGCGAAACCGTGCACAGCAGACTGCCAAGTGGCATCGTGACCAGATGAGCCCTGCAAAGGTCAAAAGGGAACTATCAATTCTCTCACAGGGCAGAAAGAACAGGGCTATTCCCTCAAATACACCTCAATAAACTCCAAATGTGTCCTGAGCCTACGGGGAATTACTTTAGTTAAACACTGAATCTGCAGTAGTTGCACAAAAACAGCCAGTATGGCAGTACAATAACAGGTTGGACTTCTGCTCTAGTTATTCTATTTTTTTGTTTTGTTGTTATTGTCCTTTCAATTTCCCAAGAGCTTCTGTTAAATTATCTTCCTGTGTCAAAGGGATATTCATTTGTTAGTCAATACTAGTGTTTGTTGAGAGTGCTTTTTAATGCAAATGCAATGTTTTATATAACAAGTACTTACTTGTGTGCTATTTTTAATATACACCACTGTTGAAGCCACATCTTTATTTTGTTTAAAGTGATATCTACTACTATAACAACTGTAGATTACTTCTTAAAAAGGTTGGCAAAAGAGTATTAAGACTACATTTCCCATCATGCAGTGCAGGAGCTGTAGTTGTTTACCGCAGGCCCACTGGTAATGTTCAGGAAGCCCTCCACAGCTGTCAGTGTTCCTGAAATCAGAAGGGAAAAAATCACATTGTTGAAATTCACGTATTTATTCATTAACATGTCAAAGGTACATTTTATTTTACCATATTTGGAAATTGTTAGAAGGTAAGCAAACTGAAAATCCAAGATGTACACATTTGTGTGTTAAGCACTATACACCTTGATATGTTAAAGGCTCAAAGCGACATGTTATCTCCTTAACCGAGTAAACTATTTATCTTGTGTTGCCTACCTTTGAACTGCCTCTGTGTGTAGAGAATACCCAGGTCTGCAGGTATGGAGTCGAAGCCACAGCTGCCGATCACATACACTCCCTTGTCCAACGCCTTAGTGTGGTACTCCAGCTGCATACGCTCTAGGAACTGTAGAGGATGGACACCCACACGTTCACATATACACCAAACAAATGTTTATTATTATGAGCAAACTAAACTTGCTTTAGTCAAGTCGACTTTAGGATCAGTGATTACCACGCTAAAAAACATAAAAGACATCACAGTGAATAAATAGGTAGAAGACATAGAAAAAGACAATTATGTTCCTACCTGAGGCTCCCCACATATGTCTAGGTAGTGAGCTCCATTCTCTACGCAAGCTTTGACCACTGGTTCGCCAAAAAATCTGTACTGAAAACACAGAGAATGAAGAGAAATGTTCAACATCACCTTTTAGTTTCGTGGGTTTGAATCTAATTTGTGTCAAATGTCAATTTCAAAGTTGTATTTGTTTCAACCCCTCACAAAGTCTGGATAACATACGAGCAGGTTAATGCCATTTTTAAATAATCTGCAGCGACGAATGCCTGAAATAACAACGCTGATTATGTATTTTTTCAGAATTTCACTGAGCCGACAGCAGGGAACATTCTGCATTTGTTTTTTTATTTATGTAGGCTTACAAGTTTTAGCTCTTTATCAAAAATAAGGGGATTCAACAATTTCACTTAACATGGTTTTTGGTTGACACTTTTATCCAAAGTGAGTTACATACACTTCAATACTGTATAGGGGCAATTAGGGGTTAAATAACTGCAAAGGTTAGGGTTAAACCCATAAACCTCTGATTTGCAGATCAGCGCACTAATCCTCTGTGCAAATAAATGCTGTTTTAAATTTAAAATAAGTGCACTGTAGAGACAGTGCAGCAAACACACAAGGCAGACAATTACAGTCATTTAAGGTAAACAATTTGGCTTAGACTGTTATGTGTATTAAAATTGTAGTATTTGATCAGATGCAACCCAAAAAATGGTCAGTATTATATATCTGCCATAACCCTCCCTGCTCTCTAAACATACTTTGAAACACCATATGGGTCTACTCACGGGTCCCACACAGTTGAGAATCACCAGGCCTTGTTGGCACATGATGGCCAGAGACTCCTCGATGGACACATCTGCGACAATGATTTCAATGTCTGTCCTCAGCTCAGGCATAGCTGACGGAAGAAAGAAGAGATCATCTTTCAGTAAATTGTACAGAGAAAGAATGTTGCACATAATATAATCCTAATCTGATTTGTGGTACTGTATTTGTTCATGTCAGAATAAAACGTGCATGTTTAACACAGGGTTAATACAAGCAAAACTGACAATATCATGTATCATATTAAATAAATACAACTATTTCTAAATTCTTATTGCTGCACATTACCACATGACGTGTCTCAGTTACTTTGGCCTGTGAGCCTTGCTGCTCAATAACCTGATAACAACCTATTTCTCAAGCTAGCTGTTTTAGTGCTTTCAATAACTTATATTTAGGGGTCAAGTTAAAAGATGTTCATTTGTATACATGAGACTGCTGCCTCTGTCAGTGAAGTGAGTAAAGTGTCCTGCGGCAGAGAAACAGCCTGACATGTAATCGTTAAGAGCCTGACAGCTAACATAGTTAGTGTCCCAGTTAGCTACAGCACAGCCTGTCAAACATACATAGCCTCTCCGAGGCTTTTGTCAACACTTCTCCCAGTCGCTGTCTGCTTCTCCCGGCCACAGCCCACTTCAGACGGCTTCCGTCAGGACTCTCTGCAGCACAACGGGCCACCTCTTCCACTACAAACTGTCCAGTGAACCCTGTTGCGCCGAAAATGATGATATGGTACGGTCTACTAGAAGTTACAGCCGCCGCCATTGTTGCGTTGTTTGGTTTGAGAAGGCATTCCACGCGTGAGCTCCGCTCTGGACGCTGATTGGCTGAAGTGCTGACATATTAAATTACGTATTGTGATTGTACCGTAGCAGCAACGCTTTTAACTATTCAACCTCTGGTGACAGTGGTATATGAACATTTAATTTGTAGTTGATAATATAACAAATTACAATTTATTTTAGTTTACTCATTGGTATCTTATTCCAGTTGTATTTTGTACCTTAGTTGCGACCATATCCAAAATCTAGGCCACTGTAAATCGACATGGCAAGCAGTAGCCTGTGAATTTGCCTGGATATATTCGTAAAATAAAAGTATTGTGAACGTAATAGGTAAAACGCACAGGTGGGTCAGGATTAGCTAAATATTCCACACGACACTTAAACGAGGCTTCTGCCCCATACTGTAGTCGCCATGTAGACCGCAACCGGTATGTTTCTAGACAAAATGGTTGGTGATTCTGTGGTGGACATTGACATCTGGTGGTGAAGTTGAGGTATAAATGTGACACATTTTCATTTCATATTTTCGCCAAAGTTTAAATTAGGGATAGGCATTGAAAAAGAAGACACAATGGCAAATTAATTAATCATTGTTTGTATTCCCTTGTGAACACAACTGAACATAAATATTGAAACAGGTGGATTGAATAATTCAACACACAATTGGACATTAGGGAAGAAAGATAGAACAAATCGGGAGTTGAGAAGGAGATAAAAATGTGTTGACACATCAATAGCCAACATGGCAGAAACATGCTGTGAAATTTCAATTTTTCCATTTCAACAAAATGAAGTCTCAACAGGCGTATTTTTGTTGTTGTGTTACTTGTGCCGGACAGGAAACACAACTCTTGGTCCCTAAATCTCTGCTTTTAGACAAAATGATACAAAGACAGCATAACCCATGTACACTGGATATTCTAATACTCCCATTTAGGGCTGAAACTAATGATTGTATTCACTTGCAATTAATCTGTCGACTAGACTAAAAAAAAAGAGTCCATAAGTGTTTCCCAAATCCCACATTGACGTCCTCATTTGACATAAAACATATTCTATTTGCTGTCAGTGAGAGAAGTAAAGAAACCAGACAGAATTCATATTTAAAAAGCCAAATATATGTTCAACATATCAACATTTTAATAGACTTTTAAAAATGGTTGGCTGTTCATTTAATAGATGACAAATAATAGATCAATCTTTGTAGCTCCTTTCCCAAGGCAGATAATGAGGACATATAAACATTTTAGGAAGAAATAGTGTTATAAACTTGAATTAAATTAATGTTTGCTTGTTTTTGACTGTGATCTGTTGTCTCATACACAATCCAAATGTATCTTCTGTCCGCTGATGCAGCCTTTTTGCCAACTGCAGGAGGAGACTAGATATAATCATGAATCCACATTTAGACCAGAATTAGGGATATACACTAAAGCGTGAAACATTGGGCACCAAAAGTATAACATTTGTAGAGTTAAATGACTGTATCACATAATGATTATCATGATAACTACACTGAAATGTATTTTGTTATAAGATAGTAGAATTGACTCGCTGTTATCCTTTTCATAAAGGGCCACGTCAAATCAGGGTTTTGCAAAATAAAATAAATCTTTGTCGTCTGATAAGGTGTACAGTACAGCCCTACAATATGTTCAATTACAGGGATGAGTCAACAGAGGAAAATATAATAGTAACATGAGTTTAAAAATCATATTTTTGCCCATTAATCTTTCAAAAAACAACACACATACAATCCTAATTATTCCAAACATAGCTTTCTCTGTGTAGGTCAAAACATAACAACCAGAACAAGAAATCCTCTGGAACAAAAGACAAAGCTACATCAGCTACAAAATGTAAGGGAAACATTTGAACACACATAAACAACTTCTTCTGTTAAAATATAAACATTGTTGCGAAGTGTTGTGATCCCCTGTGTATGGTTCAGTTTAGGATCAAATGTCCACACAAACAGCAGTAAGTAGGAGTTTTTGAACTCTCCGACAACATGCACACCAGTTTTACTGTTTAGTTGCTTTGAGCACCCATTCGTTATACATAAATCTTAGGCTGATAGCTCAAATTCATAAGTCTTGGGAGCCAAGAGACCCAAGCTCCAGTCACTGTAGGAGTTTAAACTTTAAACACTCTGGATGGCAGCGTCAGATCAATGTTTGTAGATCCCACATTGAGGATTACAGTTGCTTTCAGGAACTCTTGCTTTCTTTTTCACACTGTCTTTTACAGTGCACATGTCTGAAACAGCAGTTGTTTACAAAGGTCTAAGTCCGGAGGGGCAGCCAGCGTCCGAGCCCTTCGAAGAACCTCCGCATGTTCATGATGTAGAAGTCCACGTTGTGAGTGAAGTCGGTGCAAATGTTGGAGTAAGTGTCCACCAGCGTGCAGTAGAGGGCGGTCCCGCCTATGCTGATCACCACGGTGACCAGACACAGCAGCAGAAGGATCAGGCAGGAATCTCCGCCTACCTCATCTGCAAGAAAGAAATGTAAGAATGTTGAACCTGAAACTTTTCTAATATAAATGTTTTCATTACAGGAGAGTCTGTACCTTGCTCAATGCCGTCCTCTGGCTCACTGAAGCGGACCTTGCGTTTGGTGTTCTGTTTAGTAGCTATTTCGCTTTCGGGAGGTAACCCATCCAGTGATGCTCTCCTCCTCTTCAGGATGGACACTAGACCATCTGGAGAGGAACTCTGAAGGAGAGAGAAACGAGAGAAATGACCACGGGTTATGTTTTTGGTTTGTTTTTATGTTTGTCCGCAGGATAACGCTAAAATTCCATAACATGTTTAATTGTAATGGTTTTGCGTAGGTCTGCACCTCTAGGATGTTCTGGTTTTAGGTTTGGTTCAGTTGGACGGAACAACATTGTACTGGATAAGGTAAGTTACTAGTTACTGAGATATACAAACTAAAATTTGTTTTAAAAAAAGTCAACATGGCAACAGACAAAAACAGTCATGCTCATAGAAACAAGCTGTTTAGCCAGATTAGCTGCCTCATTTTTTAGGAGGAAAACCAAAAGTGCCCACAGCCATAATGTCAAGTGCGATGGGTCAAAATTGAGAACAGATATTTTTGGCATATAATTGTATCAGTTGTGTTAATTATTGCTTATAAATCTGACTAACCTGTTAGTTTGCTTAGAAACTGTACTGCTCATATGAGTTACCCTGTTAGACCTAATGTATGGCCCATAATTGCATAAACTGTACTTTTACTGTACTTGATAAGAAAACAAGCATGCAGGATTATAAGAGTTTTCTTTTTAGAAATCACAATGTACATAATGTTGTAGCACAATGTCCACATGTATACAATAACTCATCAGTATACAAATAACACATTGCAATAATATACAAAAAAGGTAATCATTAAAGGTAGGGTAGGTAAGAATGGAGAAACCAGCTCGAGTGCGCTAGAATTTGAAAGTACACAACCGGAGAAAATATGCCCCTTCCTTCAGACTTCCTTACAGAGCCCCTCCTCCAACACACACGAACGTGCACATGACCAATGAGGGCACGAGATAAGTTTGTGCACAGAGAGCGCCACGGCTTCCACAGATGAATTTTAATGTATTTATTGTCAAAGCATTTCATGTATTTATTGTTATCGGGATGTTAAGAGCATTCCATGGAATATAACAAAAAGTGTTTCTGAAATAAATTACATACCCCACCTTTAAAGGGAAAATCTACTTTGAAAAACATGAATTGAGTTGAGCAAAAAAAAAGAAGTAGTTTAAAAATGCATACTATATTGTATGAAAAGAAACACAAACCAGGCCTAGTGTTGTTTGAGTCGTTTGTGAGTCATATGAGACATGACTTTATGACATTGAGACAATCAAATAGTGCATTATATTTGACCAAATACCTCATTATAGATATTGTAACTTTTTTGAACAGTTGACCATTATTGCCTTTGCCAATTATTTCCACAGTGAGATTTTGATAATGAGAATCATGAGTGATGTGAATATGATGACTAAGAACAGTCTGGTAAGCGCTGACGTTTATATCACATAACTGTAATGGAGTCTTTAAAACCAGGAAAATAAATTAAAAAATAGCTAAATTCAAGATAATATATAGTATCATATCTCAATATTGATACAATGTCGAAAAGTCAATAAATATTGTTTAAAAAAAAGAATCATTGGCAAAAAAATGACACTGAATTTACACTGTACAGCCAACAGAGGTCAGTAACGGGAGTAACTCCATACCCACCCTAATGAGACCCTTTTGACCTGATCATAATCTCTGAACAAACCACAGAACACACAGCAAGGTCGTATGCTGACTACTGGAGTGGAGTCATTTCTCAAGCTGTCAGCCTCATCTGCTGCCATCATTTATAGGTCAATTACTTACTGAGGGCAGTGGGTCAATAATAACATGCAGGATATTGCCGTGGTCATCACTTTCAGTCAAGTCTATAGGCTAGAGTGGCACATTGGTATAGTATGTGTGACTTTTAAGATTGTGGTTTTCAAGTGAAGTCCCATTTAATTCTGGATTATCTGTTTAACCAATGTGTAAAACAACTTCAAGTCATATTTGTGAGTATAAGACAAAAAGCTCTTCCCCAGAATCCAGATGTAAACCCTGGAGCTGTTCCATAGAGAAATGTTTTTTAAGTGTGAGAGCATCCAATGCAGATTGTACGGTTGACGTTGGTATGATTTTCAATAATAAAACATTCTGTTAGTCGGAAAGATTTCACATTCAGCTTTATAGGGGGTTGTAATGACTTCTTGATTTTAAGGGGTATCGTTTATTTTAATATACAGTTGTCGCGTATCTCAGGATTGTATCTGTATTCTGTGAAGAAAACTAAATTCAATTGGGACTTTTAAAGTTGTATTAAATAAGATGAAAACTTGGTGAATATCTTTAAAAAAAATGTATGATCACACAGCATTCCCTCTCTGCTTAACAGCCTCGTCCTGCATTTCAAAAGTATGCAGTTAAAACAACCAAGGAGCTAAAAGAAAAATGGACATGGGTCAGGGAAAAGAAAACACAGAATTTGTCTTAAAAAAAGCAGATTACGTATAAATGATTGTTTAAAAAAAACGTAATACAGACAGAGAATTGTATTAAAGGTTCCATGTTTGTGGATATACACAAATATACTGCAGTTATTGTAGTTCATAATTTGTTCTGCAATTTTTTGTCCTGCATTGAATTTAATATGAAATATCCATAAAATACATCACCTAACGTTAGACAGGGGTCGTCAGTTTACTCAATGATCCTTGAAAGGTCCCATGTCATGCTTTTCTGGTTATTACCCGTCCCCTTGTGTGTTATGAAGGTTTTTCTGCATGTGAATGGTCTGCAGAGTCACAAACCCTCAAAGTACACCCTGTAGAGAGTAAAACTCTAACACAGAAAAGACCTGTCTATGCTGCCCCAGAACGCTTCGTTGGACATTTCTCATTTTACATTTTTTTCTTCCTGGGTATAGTGACGTGACCATACCCAAATGGACCAATCCGCGCAGCCTGAGACGGCGGGACGCGGCGAGGCTGTGAGTCTGTGTGTGAGCACAGTGAGCACATTGAACACACACACAGACTCACAGCCAGGTGTGTGTGTGTGTGTGTGTGTGTGTGTGCTCGGGCTGGTTTCGAGCTGGGTTTCGCTCTGTCTCGCTGTCTCGCCGACCCCACGCAGCAACCAGGAAACCACACCAGTAAGCCAGCTCACACTGTCCGCTCCTCGCAGCAGCGAGCCTCGCAACGTCCCGCCAACACGGCACCCAGACCCCACGCAGCATTCTCATCTGTTTGTCCTTACTGGTGTCATTTTCTGGTTGCTAACGCCATTGTAAAACATAATCACTGATGTTCCGCTGTAACGGTGGTGGACTCATCAGAACAGAGTGGGCAAGCTGACCAATCAGAGCACACTTGGCTCACAGGGAGGGGGGGCAGGAGCTCCAACAAGGCGCGTAGGACAGAGAGTGAATACACATACTATACAGAGATGCTGTGAGAAACCAATGTGAGTTTGGAACATTGAACAATATAAATATATTCTAGTAGACCTCAACAATGGAATTATGATCAGTAGAAATGGCCATGACATGGGACCTTTAAATAAAAGGTTGGGGAACCAGTGCTGTAACTAATGATCCCTCAGCTAGATGGTGTTGGACAGCAGCAAACAGAAGTGAACTACCTGAAAGCTGCAAAGCACTATAAAACATGACTCATCAATATGTTTTTAAAATACTTCTAATGCTTTATTGTGCTCTGAGCCTTCATTCTGTGCTGTTTGAAAGGACCCAGTATGAGCTGTCACATACAGTATCTGGCTGAGGACTGAATGAGTAGTCAGCCAAAACACTAAATGGCTTGTTTTCAAGAGACTAATAATATACAGGACTAACTGGTATGGCCTGATGATAATGGATTTCTGAGGAGATGTGGATATTTGAAGGTTGAGAAACATATACAGCATATGATATGGACAGTATACGAAATGTTCTTATAATTTCTCCTTTTTTTTCTTCCGAAAAAATATCTTTGTTCAAAAACTTGACCATGATATGGACCAAGCTGAACACTTCACAGTTGAAAATAATGATTGGGGGACAAACTATGTGTTAGCATCACTGTATTTATAGTGAATATCTGCAATAAACCACCATTGGTCTATTAATTTCCCTCATCTGAAGTCCAAATCAAGCCCGTAACTCATGCCAAATTCTGTCAAAAAAAGTCAATGTTATCCTTTAAAATTAAAAGTATTGGTTATACTATTATAATTTGTTTCTGGCTTGCTATTAGGGCTTATTGGCATTAATTCATTCTAACACTGTGCACTGCTGTTACTTAATTTCTGAATAAGTTGACTTTAACTATGTTTTGGAGAAAGTGACTGCAAAAACTTGTTTTGTAAAAAGCTAACTCCCAAACTATTGGGATGTGACTCAACTATTTTAATTGTAAAATAGTCCCACCCATGCCCCACCCAATCTATTATCTGCTGGATTACATAACAGCCTGCTCCAATCAATGCAAAGCGTTCAGCCTGCACTGCTTGTTTGGAATAGCTCATATTTCATCTCCACCTCTAGGAAGAACCAAGCCCCTTCAGCTCTGTGTTTGAGCCAGAACATGATGCTCAGGCTCATTCATTTGGCAGGATAAACATCCCTAGTGTCCGGCCACACCAATGAACATGGGTGCTAGGTTTTCTTCATAGATATGTTAGCGATGATCTCACCAAGGAAACACAGAGATCAATAATGGGAGTGTCCCGACAAAGAGCTCTGAGTCAGAGAATAGTAATTATAGGAATACAGTTTAACTTTCTGCTGACAGATAGTATAATAGACAGCGAAATCATGCAAGAAAGGAATGAAAGATACCTAGATGCATGGGTGGTAAGGTAAAAGGAAATGAGACAGAAAGGAAAGATGAGAAAGGCATGCAGGCTAGGAAAATATATTCACACCTCTCCTGTATTAACCTGTCACTCCCAACTTTAAAAAATGTAGGATAAAAATGTATTCCTACCCCCTCTGTGTCAGACAGCTTGGCCAGGTCCTTGTCTGAAGCCTGGGGGACTCCTGATGGCCACTCCACCTTCACCTCCTCCTCTGGTGTCTCCTCACAAGGCTCCTCTTGCTCTTCTACTTCCTGTCCCTCCTCATATGTTTCTTCTTCTTCTCTTTCCTCTTCCTCCTCCTCCTCTTCCTCTTGATGTTCTGTCTGTGGTGAGGAAAGCTCTGTCTCTGAGTTCATGCTAAGCTCTTTTTCTTCATCCTGGTGTGTTGTTTCCGGCTCGAAGACTAGCATGTTGTAGGAACAAAAAAGATTCATTATTAATTTTGGATTATTATCACTGTAGAATAGTAAGTACCATACCATGTGTGAACTTGATGGTGTAATGATATAGGTCTAGTGTATCTTAGTGTGTCCATGCGACCAAATTTGCCAGAACTGTTAAGCTCTTAATCTTTAAAAGAGACCTATTTTATTTGCTTTATTTCTCACGAAATACCAAATCAAATGCCTTGCATGGGAAAACCTATAAGGCAAGAAACCTGTATTGTCTTTTTCATCCATATGCAAAGCCAGAAACTCAGTTTTTAGAAATCTTTCAAGAAAACCATGTTTCAGTGTTGAGGTTTGGACGGGGAAACAGACATTTGGGCTTGTAACTTGTGAGCTGTTATTTGCTTTGTGAGGCATCAGAAATGGCCCATGTTACATGTCACTTGATAATAAAAGACGCTTATATCCAAAGCGACTTACATACTCAATACTGTGGACAATACACCCAGGAGCAATTTGGGGTGAAGTGTCTTGCCCAGGGACACAACGACATGCTGACTGCGGGACTCAAACTTGCTATCCCCTGATTCGAAGTCCAGTACACTAACCACTGAGCCACAACCTCCCCATGTGTAATGCTTTCAGCTTTTTATCAGGACTTTTAAAAGTGTTTACACATAATGACATTTCCATTAGCCTTTGTTGTAATTTGTCTGTTCTAATTGGCTTAATATTTATCTTTTGATACCCCCAAAGCTTTTTTCTTATTTAAAAGGAGACCTTCATCTAAAGTATTATTTAATGTTTAAATAAAGGTTAATTCGTTTTTCTTTTTTGCACCTCCTCCTATTAATATCTTTGTACATCCTGCACTAAACTGTTTTATTGTAGAGATCACTTATAGTATCTTCTTGATTTTTTATATTCTATATTTCTATCATTGACCTTCTACTTTCCCCCTATGAAAGTATGTACTCTTAATATTTTTTTCATCAAATATAACACATAAAAACAATAATTGAATAACCTGCTTTAACCACTAGGCGGTGCACACAAGGTACACACAGCCATAATAACTTTGTATTATTAGTGTAGGACACTTATGTATGTACAACATCTGCAGATGTGTAGTTGTATTCATGCTTTCACATCATTTTACAGCATATTGCTATACTATTTCAGACTCAGTATTTACATTCTTATATTCAAAGAAAATCAGTAATATCTTAAAAAACAAAAGTCAGCCGAATTAGTGTTGATACTGCAAGGAGACGTATTGTGTGAAGAGAAATTGAAGATGTTGTTTAATTGCTGATATATTTATGATCCACTTCAAGTATTCAGTTTCGACGGCATTTCTTCCAGTTTTTCCAAAGGTCTTCTCATCAGGGCTCTATAAATAAAGAACTACGGCAGATCTGTAATATGTAATGCAGCCGAACCGTGTATTAGAATGCCGTTATGAAAAGCAAGAACACTCGGAATAAAGTATTATTTTCTTTAAAAAAAAAAAAGTTTTTGGGATTTCATATCGCATTAACACCAACATGCATTGCGGCTAAAACATCCAATCAGCCTGCTTAAACCATAGCTGAGGATCTTGGGTAATCAGTTCAGTGGCTGTGTATCGCAATGATGCTCGAAATGTCCCTTATAGGCCTACGTCTGTTTCCGGTTATTTTTATTTTGAAATTCAGTTCCTGACGGACGCCAAAAAAGAGATTATGGAATTAAACAAATAAATAAAAACAAGGATAATTGTGTGTTATTGGTGAGTAAATAACAGTGTGTTATTTAGAAAAGAATAACAAATTAGAAAGAAAAAACATTTAAAAAAATACAGATTTCAGTATTCTGAGGCTCTGAGCCCCATTTATTTTCCTCACAGATGACAAAAAAAGTCCGACATTATACGATTTAAAATAAAAACAATAATCGTGGCTTGATATTGAGTAAGAACATGTTTTTATGAACCCCACAGCTTCCGGTCTTCCAAGACCCGAACAGACGTGCTGCAGGCAGGAAACATACTACCAATAGAAATACATTGCTTTTAAAATCGTTCTGTGTGACACGAAAAAAAGGGGAAAATCGTGTTGGTGAACACGAATCAATAGATTAAATGTCGTGACTATAACACGAAATGCCGTGAGACTGGGTTGCTTGAACATAGTACATATTGAACCTGTTACCCCCTAACCCCCAAAACACACCAGGAGCGTCTGCGTCGCGTTACGTTGCGGCTGCGCCACGCTGCGACCTCCTCCTGCGACAACACACACCAGACGCGTTTCAAAACGTTGCGGAAGCGGAGCGTCGTGTGTGCAGCCTCGCAGTTGTTGTTGATTTTGGAATATTTCCTGGACATTTGTACTTCTACAAGTAAGTAGGCTATACGTAGTTAAATGGTTTATGTTTGTGTCTGTTTAAATCGTGTTTATTGTTGTTATTTCCTATTTTGTTGTGTTGTAGACTACAGACACAGTTAATAATAATTGTAATATTCCAGTTATAAACGACATGAATCAAAGATGTGTTAATGTATTTTAGTGGTAAAAAAATATGCATTCATCATCATAATTATTCTATATATATATCATTTACAGTGCCTGTAAACCGGAGGAGAACGCTGGCATGTATTCTCCTACTTGAAAGACTACGGGGGGATGGGGGGAGGAGTTTACCTTACGGCTGCGCCGCTGCAAAAATAGGATTCATCCTCATTTTAGAGAAGCGCTGCGCCGAGCCGCTTCTGGGACGCGTCTGAGCTAAGAGTGGCCGCGATCGCTAAAAACGCCGCAGCCGTAACACGACGCAGACGCTCCTGGTGTGTTTTGGGGGTAATCGCACCAGGAGCGTCTGCGCTGCGGCTGCGCCGCGCTGCGACCTCCTCCTGCGTCCTAACCCACCAGGCGCGTTTCAAAACGTTGCGGAAGCGGAGCGTCTTGTGTGCAGCCTCGCAGTTGTTGGATGAACATTCCACTTCCTGCCTGCACCGCGCTGCGCCGCGTCAAAAATAGGATTCATCCTATATTTTAGAAATTCCTTGCGGCGAGGAGCATCTGGGACGCTTCGAGCCGCGGCGCAGCGCGGCGCAGCGTGTCTGGTGGAATAGCACCCATTGACTAGAGTGGCCGCGATCGCTAAAAACGCCGCAGCCGCAGCGCAACGCAGCGCAGCGCAGACGCTCCTGGTGCGATTAGGGGGTTAGGCATCAGTATGTTAGCATTTTCATTGTGAGCATTGTGTTAGCATGCTAACAAGGTGATATAGTGAACATAGTACAGATTTTTCCTGTTTAGTATAAGTATGTTAACATTGCCATTGTGAGTATGTTGGAATAATAACATGGTAAGATGGTGAACATGGTACTTGTAACTGTCTTCACTCTCTGTTGTTTATTTTGTTCCACGTTGTATTTTTGGTTCCTACCTTTTATTTTTGCAACATTAATAGGGGCGGAACTAATCTGCGGTGTTTTGTGTTACACCTGTTTGTTTAATCGACGCAATTGAAAGTCGCAACTGCAGAGCAACGCAGAATGTAAAGAAAATCTAAGGAAACTAAGGGGAAAATGCAGTTAAAGATATCAGCCCCTCTAGATGACTAGCAGCCTACGAGGTACGTTTTTGTGCTGGTTGTTTGTCTAAATGTGTGTGGTTGAGCTGCAGGTTATATGTATGTATGCTATGCGCTAGCTTGTGCTACATGCTATTGTTAGCTTGTGCTACATGCTGTGTGGGATATGTGTGCCGTTTATTGTTTTATTTAGCGGCATTAACAGTGATCACATGCATATATTCCATATTTATTTATTGTTTACCCTTTATATATTTGTTGTCTTACAACCCAGTTCTCACGGGTTGAAATAGGTCCCACAAGAATAAACCCCATATTTAATCAAGACCTCAGCCTCGTGTCATTTACTGGAGGGAGCTACAGTACTTATTCTGCCAGTTTAGCATCATTGTGCATCATCATTGTGAGTGGTAACATGCTCACAAAGTACCTGTGAATTATCAGTATGTTAGCATTATTGTGATATGTTAGTGTAGCCAGCGCTACTGTTTTCTGGATTAGCTGTCAGATACTTTTTTGACGTGGCTGGGCCGCCACTGCTCCTTTAAGACACACCCCCCTTCTTTAGTCAGCTGGCCCTTCCATATAAGGAAAACGCCGCAGCTGTACGTAGTTCAGCATCTCCCGCTACACTTTAAATGCCCACAAACACCTCACCCAAATCAGCTGTGACTATTACGAGTGTTCTTGTTCCGGTCATCGTTGTCTGGCTGATAGGCATGTATTCCCCCTATACGAGGCTTCTTGACAGCCCCAGCAGAGACTGTAGAGAATCACTGTTGCGGAGGTGATATTTGAGTGGGTGCGTTTGCATCAGAGGATTAGTTTGCTACCGTTTTGCCTTTCCTTTTCTTGATCTTAGGTTTTAGCTGTAATTTACCATGCCTACAGGCTATTTGATTTTCCTGCCTTCTATGTTTTGCTTATTGACTAGTTTGTTGTATTGTGTACAAACTAGTGATTAAGTCTTTAAAGCTACAGCACCCTCCTTGTAACGACCCACCCTGTCCCACAAGGTCTAATACTGTCTCTGTGCTTATACTTCTTCAGTGACGATCCTGGCCATACTGTGGAGTGGAGCATGTGGTTTGCTGGGCACTTTTTGCATGCAGATATGGGTGATTTGCAGTGAGTGTTAATTGAATACAGCTACACGTGGTGATTTTGGGGAAACCCTCAGCAGTTTGCCAGAAGAATCACTTTTTAACCATTTAACTATCACTATATGTGTGATATTATAATTCGTATTATCTCCTTGTCAGAGCCAGCCTTCAATCGTGGGACTTAAGTGTGTCGACTGGGGAAGCTGAACAAGTTTTAATCTCCATTTTATAATGCTGAACTCTTACCTGATTATTTATATAATAAACTTTTGTAAACATTTGAACTTGAGGCCGCGTCCCTGTCCATCCTTTTTATTCTTATCTGCGTGACTTGTCCTAAGGTAGACCCTCCAGAAAAACGTGGGCTAAAATCCTTGATTATGCGATCAAACATGCAGGGTTTTATGTGATTTTATGCGGTGAAATTGCGGGAAGTTGTGAAATATGCGGAAATATGCTAAATATGTGGAAAAAATTAATATTGGGCTGTCTTATTTATTCTCTCTCACACACAACCTGCCACTAACGTTAAACCCCTTTACTATACAATTAAACACATTCAATGTTTATTTATTGTAAAAGCAATTGGGCTATTTTAATCACACTCTCTCTCTCACACACACACACACACTTCTCCGCCTCATTCTGTTTTCATTTCATTTCATGTTCGTTATCTGACCATCTTCAATCTTGTAGGCTTCTCACCTCGTTTCTTGTAGCCCTCGAAAGGGTTTTGGAGGTCGATGCCTCGGTGAACGTGAGTTGTTTGGCTTTCTTGTCCGCAGCAGCAGAAAGAATGTTTGAATGAATCAAAGTGGGTCGTCACCGTCGATGTTCTCTTATGCTCCAACACACAGTTGCACGGGGTGCAGAATAGTTTCCCCCCACTTTCGTGCAAGACATCGGGGTACTGCTTTGCCCGGTCTTTAGCAGAAATGTTCATCGGTAAATGAGATGGATTAGATTTTTTCATCTTGGTGTTTTCTCTCTCGTGTGAGTTCCACACGTTCACTCTACGGTGTTGTTGTCAAGACGAGTTAACTTTTTTTTTTCTCTTTGTGTGGAAAAATGCTCCCCGCATTTTTCCACACAAAGTTGAGAAGAAAAAAAGTGATGCGGCCTTTTGATAAATATGCGGCCTTTTAAAAAATCTGCGCCATTTTGCTGATTATGCGGTAAATTCTGCGATCGCAGAATCGCGTTTTTCTGGAGGGTCTACTAAGGGCTCGTATTGGGGAACCCAGGTTAGCGTTAAGTATCCTAACCCCTTTAATTATCGCAGCCCCCCCTCCCCGGTGGGGCAGGTCACATAAGCATTGCAGTTAGTAGGGATGTCCCGATCACCTTTTTTTGCTCCCGATCCGATTCCGATCATTTGGTTTTGACAATCTGCCGATACTGGTTTTTCCTGATCCGATCTTTATGCAATGCATTAAGAGAAAAAAAAGGTAACAGATAACGGCTGGTCATCCAACGCGATGAATTCAGCTATCTTGGCTGCTATTTGTTTGGCCTTTTCACTGTTCTGGGGCAGTTTCTCTTTCCTTTTTAAAAGCCGTTACCTGAGTGGCCGCTGTGCACTCGTCGTGTTGTTGTTGGTGTTTGTTTCTCAGGTGGCGTATTAGATTGGTCGTGTTGAACGTAGCTCTGTTCTTTCCACCACGCGGAACCTCCGCCTTGCAAACATTGCATCTGGCTGTTACACTGCCTTCGCTTTCAATTTTATAATACTTCCAAACTCCTGACATTTGCTCTGTTCCGACTCCCGAGTCACCAGCTGAACGTAGCCTCTCGTTAGCTTACTGCTACTATTAGACACTGCGCCCACTCTGTTGCCAGATTTGAGAGAAATAAGCAACAGGTCTATGAAAACAAGCCCAACAGAAGCAACACATACATGATGTTGTGTCATTTTAAACCAAAACTAAGTCCTCAGGATGACTTTAAGACGTGAACATGGTCATTTTTGTTTTGTAACATTAAATAAAATAATAAAAATATTTTATAAAAAAAAAATAAAAAATTCCCGATCCCCGATTTTTTTTCTCCCGATTCTGATCTTTTGAAAATCACGTGATCGGCTCCGATCCCCGATCACGTGATCGGATCGGGACATCTCTAGCAGTTAGCATTGAGATAAAAACAAAGGCTGGCAGAGCTTGGTACTGTAAACAGTTAGACGCGTTTACCTTTATCATGGCAGGGTTGTAGCGTCTCGTTCTGGCTTTGAATGTCTTTCAGTGTTGCATTCAGCGTGTTCTGTTGAATCAAACAAAGTTGAATGTTTATTAGGATACTTTTTAAACAGAAAAAGAGCAATATCAAATGAAGGCTTACATGACTTACCTCTTCCACACAGGTGGATGGTCTGCATGATGCCACAAAGAGGAACACACAAAGAAGCAGAGGGAAGCCAAGTTGAGGGGAACACCAGTCATGCAGCAGGAGAAATAGAAAAGACAGACAAAAAGAAGTAGAGAGAGGCCAGACAAGGTTATTGGTGTTACTTATTATAATACAAAATCTAATAAATTCTGCAAGTCTTTCCAGCAGGAGTTGGCATAGGTTCTCTAACAATTCTACCTGCATGGCTGTGGGCTACAAAAACATACCCAGAGAGTCCCTGGATAGGTGGAACACAACAAAGTCTGGAATGCAGACTGCAGTATGTGTCTGTGTCTTTAGAAAATCATTATCCCGCTGTGTTTTCTGCCCTGTCAGAAATATACATTTTCCCAAATGATTCCCAAGTGGGTCTGTATTCTCAGTGTGTCTTCATGTATTATTGATGTGTTGGATTCATCTGCGTGCCCACATATGAGATGAAGTTTTGAGTTAAATTACAGTAAGGGAAAATGACCACTAAAAGGTTTCTGTTAGACAGCAATAAAGGTATTGGGAGGTAATGTAATGGGAGGAATCTTGTAAACGTGTTTATAGTGGAAGTCTGTGTTGGACTTGGGTGTGGTAATCATAACATACATCACTTTACAAAATACAAGTGCTGGACAGAGTGAAACGTCTGTTTTTTTGTTAAGTGTTGTATAGAGTGGTACAGTTGTGACGTAATTTTGCAGGCTAAAATGGAAGATAGCATTGCAAGGGGTCCCTCAACAAAACATAATGGGTTTTTCCATTGGATTTCAAAATATTGCAGCATATAAGATCTTTGGCTAACACACGTTTATACACATTTTCTTCAGCGGAATAATCTCCACATATCATCACCAATCTTATGATTTTTGAAGTGTAATGGCAATCGGCAGTTGTAAATAGATAACATAATGCTATAAGAAAACATCAGGGTCACATGGCTGTGCATCACTACTGCTAAGCTAAAGGTGGAGTCATGTTGGGCATAATGGCGTTTAGTAGTCTAATTTAGTCACTTGTTAGCAACTGCACATATAAACTTCAGTGGGGTATTTACTGATGTATTTTATGTTGTAGAGCAACATATGAAAATCTCTAGCTTGTGATAACCACAGATCTTTATTCAGCCATCTAACAAAGAGCACGTAAAAAAAAAACATTGACTTTTAGGGAACCAGTAGTAGTACATTTGAACCCATTTCCAGGTTTTAGGACTCATGTTGCCAGTGCAATACTGTCATCAGAGATGTGTGTCGGATGTTATGATCAGACACACATCTCTTTTGTGTCTGATCATAACATAAAAAGGCGGTCTATGAGTCCAGCTCTACTCCGATTTATATGAAAGCTTCATATATATGTTATGTGTTGTGGTATACCGATGATGTGTCCTGCAGATCTGGCTCAGGGTCTCGATGTGTTTCTGACCGATGCCGTCCGTCTCATCGGGCAAACAGCTTTCATCGCGTTTCTTCTCTTTCCACTGGCTCTCTGGGAAAACATGCGCATAAAATAAATGGACAATATCCACTATTTCTTTCTTTCTTTATATTGCACAGCCTTACAATTAGGCTTTTCATCACGGATACTATTTTATAGAGGAAGGAAACAAATGCATACAGTACCCCAGTTCTCCTGCAGGGCGGCAAGGTTGGAGAGCAGACGTTCATGGTAGAGCTTCTCCAGCTGAAGGAACTGGATGGCCCACTGGTCTGGTTACATAATTAGTTAAAGAAACCAACTGAGATCAATCTTAAGCTCTAGAGGAAACTACAGTTGAAGTTGTTTTATTTTGTTACTGTGTTTTACCACAAAGTCTGTTGTTTCTGTAAAACAGGTGTGTAACCTACCAACAGCTGTAAAGTCCAAAACAGGGATTGTTAGTCACTTAAGATGAATAATGCATCAACTAAGGTAAGATAAGAGATACATCATCTTGACACAAGAATTCCTCTTCCATATGCGGTCACTTTTTAAACTCTATTGTGCTTTATGGGGTTTGCCTTTATTGTGTCATGTAGGTTTTTGTAAATGCTTTGTAACAGCTCAAATCCCCAAGTTCCCTCCAGAGGGAGTTTCTCTCACTCCTTTGTTTACTTCTGTAACATAGTGACATCACTATGTAACACTTGCACTTCAATTGGCTAGCGCTCTGACACATTGTACGTGATTTGCCAAGGGATGGGACATCTCTAAGCGGTTGACTAATGACAACAGAACCAGCCAGGTAACCAATCAGACCAGACTAGGCTCTGGTTCAGACTGAGGTTGAAAAGAGGTGCTTTACGATCAAAGCATGTTAATATTTAACAATATTAGGTGAACAAAATATGAATATAAACCTGAAAATAAGCATAATATGTCTTATTAAAATTCTGAGTACAACCACAACCAGTTTTATATATGTCTGGTTAAAGAGATGAATAAAAGGCCATTGGTTCCGGCACTTTTGCCCCGCCCAAGGACTGTTTATTTGCATACAACCAAAGCACGCTCAAACGTGATTGGTCAATGCTGCTCAGACTACAATGACAGTCAATAATGGTCCCAATATCAAAATGTTGTCCTTTTGCCTACGGATTCCGCATTCAAATGCAGATATCTCTTAGTAAAATAGACAAAATCCATAATATAATGCACATTACATAAGAAATATTACAAAACAAATACATGTATTCCTTTAGGAGGATTAGGACTCATTATGGTGCCCACATCATGCAGCTTTTAATTACAAATAACCAAAATTAATACGTAACTAAAGGGCAGCAAATTAATAGGAACAGGGCCTCAGGAGATCAAGGGGTTAGAAATATCCTCATAATGACAGCTTGACACTTGACAGCATTGAAGATAGAAGAGACAATTACCCATTAGTTTAAGATAAATGTGAGTATGTCTTTGTCCATGTTATGATCTTGCATAATAAAAAAGCAAGACCAACTTAAAAAATAATACTGCATTGTTGTTGAATTATTTGAAAATCAAAATCAGCAAAAGCCTTGATTTCTGCACAGATACAATTTATCCTGACATCATCATACATTAAGCTTTCTCAGTTTTCTCTCTGCCTCTCTTCCTCTGTCGCCTCACACATAAACACATTAACACACTGTGTCCTCCTTGCAGCAAGACAAGCCAACAGCTGTTGCCAGACCAACAGCACAAACAGAGTCAGAGGAAACTACTCCTGAAAGCCGTCAGGGCGCACAGCCAAATGGGGAACACCCAGTTACTGAGATGAATAGAAAACCACAGCCACTACAAAGGCCCTCGCAGAGCACAGACCTCTACCAAAGCCAATGCTGCATTCACGTGCACGTTAGAAGGTACATTTTCCCGAGTTGGGAAACTGTCTTTTGGACTTTGGTGTGTTCTTTGATTTAAATGGTAATGCTCAGAGTGTTTCCAGGACTTTCTTTGACAATGCAAAAGGAAAGGAAACAAATCAGGTGAGACATGAAATGTTTACAAAAACGTTTCCATACTTGCTGAGTTTTTGTTACGAATTGAGTGGACGTTCACACACATTTTCACAGTAGTTTTTACCTATAAGTCCAAAACATGAACGCAACACTAATTGTGAATACCCCAACCTGAGTTCTAAAATGTATTGGGTAGTTTTTTGGCCCACGCTTCACAGTCTATGCACTTCAGCCATCCACCAAATTTCATGAATATATGGCAAATCGTTTTTCTGTAATCCTGTGGAAAAACTGAAAAAGTTGCCAAAACCTTAATCTCCTTGATTTGGGTAGTCAGAGAGACAGTGATTGAAAAGACCAACAGCAAAGCAAACTCATTTTTTCATATTATTGCCTTCACTAGACCAACACAGGCCTTTTTGAAAGAAATTAAAACTTGTAAAGTTCCAAATCTGCTCCACATGACAACCCTCACCAAAGGTAAACCCCCTTTCAACCAAATGAAATCAAAGCACTCTTAGCTCTCTTTTTTTATATTGGCATATGCCAGTCCGGCTCAGTCACGGCTCAGCTGGAAAGTACTAGTGACCGGTCACAATGCATAAAACAAAATGAATGAGGTCACTGATGAGGTCACTGTGCAATTTTGAAAGGATACAGTCCTCTTTGAGTGAAAACGCCTCTGCAATCTGAAAAAAAAAGATAATTGAGGTACAGTACTTTGATTCATAGAAGTCTGAATATACAGGTAACATAATTGTTCATCGTGTTAAACAAGTCATGTGATAGCGCTTTAGTGTGAAACATTACCCCTGAAGCATCAAAGCACACAAGACTTCAATGCTGTTAGCTGGAAATGGTGTCTTTAAACTCTAGGTAGACTGTTCTACCAAATGTTTATGTTTGAAATTCACCAAATCCCTTCAAAGTTGAAGATCACATGCGGTCACATGCATCTAATTACGTGCAGATTACCGTGTCTCTGGGAGCTTTTCTCCCATTGACTTTATACCTTTCTCTGCTTAACCTGTCGACTAAATGAAGAAGTAACTCTAGAGATGGAGAACTTGCTCCTGTTCAATCATTCTTATATAATAACCAATTATACAAATATGCTATTGCCATGATCAATGAATCTGATTTCTGGATTGTCTAGCCTTATTGATTGCTTGGCTTTCATTCTGAATGGAAATGTATGACTACTGTCTGACAGCTAGGTAAAGAGTTACAATTATTTAAAAAATAGCCTCCACTTTTTTATAGGTGGCCAATGTTCTGCTGCCTCACCCACAGCAGTACAGTGCTCCACTTCCATGCTGTAACTCCTGTCTGTTTCTCCAAAGTGAGACCAAAGCAGAACACTGCCTATTCAGATCGTTTGCTTTATTAATCCCAATCTCCAATATATTACATTTAGGTTACTCATCATATGTGCATCAAGAAAGCTTTAAAACTTGATTTTCGGAGAACTTGCAACGAAACAAATGTCGGCATTGGTGGCTGAAAAATCACTGAAAAGATCAATTAACAAAATGATTGCCAAATACATTTATGTTCCATTGAGTGTTATTTCACAGTAACAGCTGCTTTTTCCAAATACACTGAACTGCATCTCATTTCCTTTTGTTGTGTACAGCCTTTGTTCCATTATCACTAGAGTTGGCAGTGCTCTCGTTGTGCGTTGTGACTGTTAACTGCAAAGTATTGCACCGGCAACATGAAATCCCTTTTTTTTACTTTGATTCTTTGCACTCGGAGACTAAATCAAACTACATTCATCACACTAATTAGCATGTCTGTTTGAACACCATACGTGTGGTGGTCTGAAGCAGCAACAGGGAGAATATTAGAACAAATAAATCAAACCGGGTTGCCAGTTGACATCCCTGCACCTGCAAGAGCAGTTGCATAAATGTTCTTTTCTGCTTCAGTGACTGCTCCTGTTGTCTCCTTGAGCAATTCATTTTCAGGGAAGTTGTTGCTTTTCAGACGGCTGACTTTTTTAAAGAAGTAACCAAGTTACTGTATCGCGGTGCATTTCCATGCTGGTGAAATATAACAAGCAAGTAACACCACATGTATATGCACTCACACTTACAAACAAAGACATGCTGTCTAACTGACTAAATGTAGACACTCACTCCCTCTGGATTTGAGAGAAAAGAATCATTGCGCTTGTCTTGAACATTCCACACACACACACACACACACACACACACACACACACCTGGTGCAGGGAGTGTGGCAGCAGTGTGTAGTCACTGTTTTCTCTGAGGGACTGCAGGGAGGCCAGCAGCTCTAGGCTGAGGCCCGGCAGTTCATCTCTGGAGACACTTCCTAGGAACACACAACACAAACAAATGCTTTGGTTACGTCCAACAGCCTGAATTCTGACCACAGTATCTTTGCTGCAGAGTTTATGCACTGCATTTTTCAATGGGTTATGTAATCAATGAGTGATTGTAATGGGGTATAAAAGTACAGATTACATTATTACTTAAAAGGGACACGCCACTTATTTAAAAAGTCACAGGCAGCCCTGCAACGTTCCCCCCTCTAGTGGTTCCAATTGGTATTATTGTTGATGTAGCTTTCGCAAAGACAACTAGGTGGCTTTACATTTTCCTTAGAGATATCAATAATACAGGTTGTACTGCATTTCATTTCCGAACAAGCTGTGCAACAGAGATGGTGATATCTTATGTTCTGTCTGTTGATTTTCATACAGTGTATGAACAAAAACATCAATCTATTGTTCATATGTCGTTAGCAACATGGCTAATGCTAGCAGCCTGTCTACTTTATTCAAATTATGCTTCGCAGGCTCTAGGGCACTTACAAATTGCTGTATTATGTGTTGGAACATCCCGTTAAAGCAGAATTGCTAGCCTGGCAGCGGCGAAACCATGCCGCGCCTACACTAATTGCGCCGCATAAGCGCATAGTTGCGCCGCATTTGCGGCTCAGTTGAGAGATGAGGCCCCACGCAATCTGCGTGATCTGCCCGTAGGAAGGGGCGGCCCGGAGTGTAACCATAGATAACACCATTAGTGATGGGAAATACGGCCCTTTGAAGGGATCCGGTTGTTATGGCTCTGTTCCTTTCCGAGAGCCGTTCAAAAGAGCCGTTTTTTTTAAGGGGGCGGGGTTACTAGGTTTATCTGCGAAATAATGACCAGGATAATGATTGACTGTATTACCAGAAATCTAAAAAATGTATAACTTGCTCCATCTCCCATCATCTACGCTTACGGCACATTTTCGTTCGGGAAAGCGAGGCTGCGGTCGAATAGTCCATTTAGCTTAGGAACCTTCCTAACCGAGTGAAATGACCCGGAAGTCCCTCAGTGGCAGCCATGATAAGAGCCGTTTGAATTCTCTAGATGATAGGAAAGGAGGTTTCAAACTTCCTTTATAACCTCCTTTAGCTTAGGAACCACTGGACCTCCCTTATCGAAAGGAGAGGAGAAAGTGCTGCCCCACAATGCCTTGCGGCCACAGCATTTGCCGTCACACAACAGTCGGTCGTTCACGGAAACAACCGATTATGACCGAGAAATTATATCATGAAAATTACGGTGCTTATTAAGCATTTTAAAACGTATGTGGTAAGTTGCCAAAGTGCTTTGTTTTGAACGTTAATCAGTATTATAATCAAAAAGAGAAATATGAACGTTAGTTTTTACTGAAATGATCAAATAAAGTCAACATTTCACAGTCTTTACTGAGCTGTGTGGAGTTTGTTCAACTTTTAAAAGATGTTTGAATGGTGATATACACAGTGATAGATGTTAAGGACTAACGTTTATAATACATTTGTATTGATTTTAAGATATTTTCATAGTTCATACAATCATATGTATTGGGATCATTTGTATTAATGTGGACCGGAGGGAGAGGGTGACGAGCACAAGTTTCACTTTCCTTTTTTATTTCAATTCCAACCTCGTTCATGAAGAATAAGTTTCTCTGTTGTCCACGTTCATAAAGCATAAAACAACAGCATCAGAGCACGGTGCAGAGTCTCTAGATGAGTTTACAGTAGTCCCTCGTTCTTATACATCCATGTTGTAGTCCGCTGTATAGAAAACTGTAGTTTCCATAGTTTCCCCACAGCAGCAGACGCACATTCATGACGTCCGCTGGCGCATTATAAACACGTCGGAAAGTGAAAGTGCAGTCGGATTCTCTAAAGTATCGCAGTCTCTTCTCCTAAGTCCTTTTGAATTCTCCTATCCACTATCCCTTAACCCCGTGACGTTTCACTCAGAGGTCAAGGAATAAACGATAGGGTTAGAACTTAGGAGCTATGGACTGCAGCCCAAGTTCCCGTAAAGGCGAGTGGATTTATGGCAGGCAGTGAACCAACGATAACGGCTCTCACCAAGTAAGACTCGGTTCCCTTCATTCGTTCCAAAGAGCCGTTCAAAAGAACGTAACATCACTAAACACCATAGCTAACACTACCCCGGTGTTACACCATCAACCAATTCTGCTAACTGGGGATTGCTACTATAGAAATAGTGTTGAGTTGTAGGCTATTATGTATAGAGCTGCCTCAGTGACATTTCTGGTAAGCAGTGATATGTTTAGGGCTTTTATAAGGTAATAAAGTGAAAGTGTCCTGTAATGCACTGCTGTTGACAGTGAGGAGCAATCAAGAGTCTGCAGTCTTGGTTCAGTCTAAAGAGCCCCCATGTTATTATTTCATTACCTCCATAATAATAGGCGCAACCACTGCAATATTCTCAATTTCCGGGAGATTAGGACCCAGAGGCAGACAGATTGGCAATTTAGACACAAGTGTTGGGAACCAATTAAAAAGGTAGATAGTCATTTTTGGCATTACATTACATGACTATATGAATAAAAACAAAATAGAACACTTACTAGGCAATATGAAGTAAACAAATAGTTGCAGTTATTTGCGTTATACAATTTAGAATCTATTATTTGTCAAGCTTGATCTAAAAGACAAAAATGTAGGGTTTCTTGGTATCTCAAAATATGGGACATTACATTACATTACATTGCATTTAGCTGACGCTTTTATCCAAAGCGACTTACAATAAGTACATTCGACCAGGAAGACACAACCTTGAAGAAAACAGAATCATATAAGTACATCAGGTTTCATAGAGCCAAACATTTCAAGTGCTACTCAACTGGCTTTAGGTAAGCCAGTCCTTTATTAGTATAAAAGTGCTTCGTTAATAATTCTATCGCTCGAAGTGGAGTCGAAAGAGATGAGTTTTCAGTTTGCGCCGGAAGATGTGCAAGCTATCTGCCGTCCTGATGTCAATGGGGAGCTCATTTCACCATCTTGGAGCCAGGATAGCAAACCCACGTGTTTTTGCTGATGGGAACTTGGGTCCCATGTGTGTGTTTGTGTGTGTCTCATGGCAGCCCCAGGAGACGTAGAAGATGATAAATCTTCCTGACTAACAGGCTGTTACCTCAGCAGGTTGCCATCAGGGACAGCCCGTCAGCCTCTCGCCTAGAGACAATAAGGCGCTATTAAGTGAAGCTGTATGTTGCAAGTCTTATGCAACATAGTCCCATCTGTATAGTACAAATGCAAATAACCAAGAGTGTTGGCCATGGCATCATTAAAGCTTAGTATCATCCTGATCATCTTAAGCTCTGTGTTTCCGGTGAAACCTTAGTCCACAGATGGATGATAAGCTTTGAGACACTGAGATGATGAGCAGTACTCAGCAGAATAACGTGTTATTACAGGGCTTCGTTAAAAACTTGATTCTGATTGGTCAATTTGGACTTTCAGCGGTCTGCATTTTTTACATATAGCAGAAGATCTGATCAAGGGACCATGTGTAGAAGGATGTCTGGTTGATTTATATCAGTGTTGGCCAAAAACAAAGAAAGGACACTCGTTTTCTGTTACTCCTTTAGAAAACAAAATGGAATACAAATACGTATTTTTCTATTTATAGAGAACATGAAAACGCTGCAGTTCCAGCCGTTCACACGCATTAAACAGACTATTTTTTCTTAGCAGAAGCAATACAATAATTTTTAAATCCATAAATCATGTTCAGTGTTTCCCCTATATACAAATAGCGGCGGCGCTGCTAGGGGGCGCCAGCCAGGTACCCAACAAAATAAAAATAAATGTTTTATTAAAATAATAAGTTGCGACCGTTTTTCGTTTTTGATTGTTTATGTGGATTTGTAGTATTTGTGTTACTGTATGTTCAATAAAGGTGTATTTTTGCTAAATCTTGAGACATTGCCACTGTATGTAGGTAGGCAGGGCCGATTTTTAACATAGGCGCTGTAAGTGATGAAAGTGGGGGATGTTGGCTTATCAGGCGCCCGCAGCTCACAGCCAAAGTGCGAGCGCGGGAGCGAGCGAGGGAGAGAGAGAGAGGGCGCACCGGTACCGGCGCTGTTGTTATTAGAATCTGGATATAAGAAGTAGATGTTTCTACAACCAGGGTGGAGGAGAGCTCTCCTGTCAGACTGAGAGGCTCACTGAGGTAAAGGACTCTGAGTGTTTAGATAGTTAATTTTAGTCTAAGTTATCTCAGTGGGTCTCAAACGTTTTGACCACAAATTATGTAAACACATATTTCCAAGGCACTCCTTTATAATTATTAGGATAAATAAAAACAGGTTTGAAATCATTCCAATGTATACGATAGGACAGTAAACCAAAAATATCGTTTAAAGTTGGTGAGATACAAAAATATGCATAAATAAATGTTAACTGGTAAAATAAGATATAAATGAACAACACAAATAAAATAAGTTACATTTATTTGTTATTGGCTATGGTAGGTTGTTGGTTATGTTCAGATACTTATTTGATTATTAAAATGTGAACCGATCTTTTTCATATGGGTGTTTTAGAGTTGTACCCCCTAGATCAGGTCTCTAGTAATTGTGTGCTCAAAGTGCACCAGATTGAAGCATTTTACTTTAAAATGTTCAAAAAATCTTCCCGGGGGGGCATAACCCCGGACCCCCCTACAGGATGTGACGTCCACCCCCCAATTAAAACATGTTCATACAATACTGAATACATTTGAAGCCATTTTGACGTATATGACCTATGTCAATAAGTTTCTGTTTTTGTAGTGTATTTGTCTTTTGTAGAGATTTTTCATTTATTCTTTATATATAAAATCTCGCCTAAAATCTCGCCTAGGGCAGCAAATTGGCTACAACCGGCCCTGGTACTAGGCAGACACATAGAAACAAATTGGCGGGGCGCACTTCGCGCTCACATTATGCTGGGCCCACGTGCCTTGGCAAAGCTGCTATGACTCCATCCTAGGGGAAACACTGATGTTTAAGTCCAAAACATGATTTAGTAAGTGAGTCTCAAATAACTGATGTATTTAGAAAGTAGCTGTGTATTAAGCAGTGATCCGTTCATTATTGCAAAGACAACCCCAACAGGTTGAGCAGGAATCACCACGAGTGTATTATACCTCAAGTAACGTACTAATGTGCCTCATGCTTTCTTTCTAGGGTGGTTAAAGACACACAAAACGTTATATTAATGAGTTTTTGTATTTATACTGGGAAAAAGGAACAATTCCTAAGGTGCGCAAACATAAAAATACCATAGCAGTCATACATTACATCCAAAGCAGATGGAGAAAAGGGATTTTACCTGTGGCACTGTTGAGGCTCACCCCTTCCTCTTTTAGCGTTGTCCCAGTGTCCGGACCTTTTGGCGGGAGAGCGTTCTTGTTACCCATCACCTCCGTCACTGCAGCGATGTTATCCTCCAAGTGAAAGCTTTTTCGAAAGGCCTCCAGTGGGCCGTGTCTGAGTCTCTTGCTTTAGGCCCTCACTGGTTAAACATTTATTGTTTTTGACTTTTTGAGTGTGCTTCCTTTGGTAGAGATAGGAAAGTGAAAGTGTGTGTTACTCTAAGCTCCTAGAAAGGGCGTATCGAGCCTCAAGAACAAAGTTTCAGCAGGTGTGGTCTGTTATCACTTGTGACGGAGCATGTGATCTAATCCTCTATCCCCTCTCCTGGGTGGTCAAGAAAATAAATGTCCACCATTGTCTATCAAGGCTGGGCAATGGAGGATGATGCTCTCAGATATCCAGACCTTCCATAGTCCTCTGTATGGTAAATAGTGCTTTCCTCTTTTCGTTTACATGCAGTGCAGCCCTCCTTCTTTGTTCACAGCAAGCTGTCAAAAATAAAAGGTGTATATTAAAAATGAGAAAATAACAAGCATAAACAGAGAAAGAAGATAGCTGAATGCAAAGAGAAGCATGCATCATTTCTGGTGTAATGGCAGTTATGTCATTGACTGAAAGAGTCGTCTTTGTGTCCAAACCATAACTGCCCATTGAGGCAGAGCAGAGTGCTCCCTGCTCAATAACTCCTGGATTAAAACAAATAACATCATAGTAGTCTGTGGAGTAGAATAACAGACCGCACACTGTGTAGCCTACTATCAATAATCTATTAATACACTTTGTGTTCCAGGCAAGAGAGGGTCCACATTGTTCTTGCAGTACAATATAATGTAGTGTTAATCAACTGGAAAGGGAATATGTTGTTACTTGGATACTGGGCAACAAGGGGACTTTTTGTATTAATTATGTATTCATTCTCTCAGGAATTTGTGAATGTTATTTATGTTAATAACAAACATTTGCCCTTCTTATAGATGCATCCTGTAACCAACAAGCCAATGCTAGCAGCTCTATGAGGCTGTTCAAGCAGGGCTTTGAGCTAAATGCTAACGCTAGCTAACATGCTCACAATGACAATTCTGAAATGCTGATGTTCAGCATGTTTTAATGTTTCACATTTCCCTCACACTACCTTTTGGTTTCAATTTAAGTTAAAAAAAAAAAGTCAGGCAGGGGAGCTTTTAGTTTGTGATAACACATTTATGACAGCAGGTCTGTTTTACAAACTTGAAGTAGTTATCATAATAGGATTTCGGATGTCGTAAATATTTAGGGTAAAAGACACAATTATCAGGCCTTTAGTTGATGCTTCTTTCCAGATATAGAATTTCTGGCAAGGGAAGAATTACGTTTCTTGCCTATAAGGGCAGTTGACAAAGGTTTTCCTGTCGCTGTTAACAAAAGGTTGACAATATCAGGATCAATTACCTTTTACAGGGCATTCACTCTAACCTTTAACCAGTTCTCTCACAGTAAATATTATCAAGTGATCCCAAACACAGTATTGTCAATGGCTTTTTTGTGTGTTTTTTATTAATTTTGAGTAGTGTTATGAATTATGTACTATGTACCCTTGAACTATGACTGTTTCCTGTACGCTACAGGTAAACACATGCATGTGTCTTTCTTAGCCTCCCAAATGGAAGCGACTTCAAAAAGCTGTGCAGTACTGGTGCAATTTTGTACGTAATCATTTATACTAGCTTGCTACAAAATATGGCTTCCTCTTTCAATTGGTAAAAGTTGAATAGAAAATGGCTGACATGATGTGGATAAATATAATTAATTACGCTTCGGGAAACCTAGAGTTTCAGCATGAGTGGTCTAAAGCCATGAAAGCTGTGTGATACTATGTGTCTAACACAGCCTGTTGGCAGTCATGTGAACGTTGTGAATTCTGCAAACATGGAATGTGACACAAAGTAAAAACGCCGAGAGCAGAGACTGACTAATAGGATGCGTAGAAAAAAATTAAGAATAATGTATGGGAGCTTAAAGGTGGGGTAGGTAAGTTTCAGAAACCGGCTCGAGTGCACTAAAATTTGAAAGTACACAACCGAAAAGAATCCGCCCCTTCCTTCAGACTTCCTTACAGAGCACCTCCTCCAACACACATGAACGCGCACATGACGTCAGCAGACTGGTGAAAGTGGCCACCTGTTGCTGGCGAGTCATTGAAGTACTGCTGCAATGCACGCCCAATGAGGGCACGAGATACATTTGTGCGTGCACGAGATGAAAGGCTGACAGACAGGGCGGCAATCCAATCGATTGGTTGTACTTTTTACAGTATTACGGCTTCCACAGATGACATTTTTTTATGGATTTTTTGTCAAAGCACTTACGATATTCATTGCTATCGGGATGTTAAGAGCATGGAATATAACAAAAAGTGTATCCTGAGCCGGTTTCTCAAACTTGCCTACCCCACCTTTAACTTTAGTCTAAGTTATCTCAGTGGGTCTCAAACGGTTTGGTCACAAATTATTCAAAAGATTATTTCCGCGGCACACCTTCATATGATCATTATCGTTATAAAAAAAACAAGAGAATAAAGGAAAACAGGTATGAAATACTATATGGCAGTAAAACAAGAATACAGTTTAAAAGGGGAGTGATTTGTATCCATAGATCTCTTAATGTTGCTCTCAAAGTGCACCAGATTGATGCTTTTAACTTCAATATTTTAAAAAAAAAATCTTCCGGGGGAGCATCCCCGCTTTTGTGCGTGCTCTATGGTGCCTGTAATACTGTTCACTGGTGTCCAGCACCTCAGCACTCCCACTCAAAATACCTTCCTGCGCCTCTGGACATTTTCACTTCCGCATTAAAAAAGCCTCCCCGTGTGACCTCCCGCGTGTGACGTCACATGGGGGAGAGCGGCCGGTCTAACGTAGTAATAAACATGGATCACAATGCTAGTTTTGACACAGAAGAGGTTGAAAATATATATTCTAATGCATATGACAGACCACAACCATATAATTATGAGCCTGCTAGGCGTCCAAGAGACCAGGAGCAGCCAAGGATTAGAAGAAATAACGGCCATCGGAGAGAAATGGAGCTGTGGTGTGAGGAGAATCAGTGGAGAACAGGGCAGCTGTCTTGGTGAGTGACCGGCGTTAGCCACAGTTAATGTTAGCTAATGTCGGTCACATCGCAAAATTGTAAAGTTAGCTATCATATATCAGGCTATAACTAAAGTAGTATTGATAATATAGTAACGTTACTGGCAGGACTGTTGATACTGATTCATAACAGAAACTAATGCGCATGTATCAGCCGTATCTCGCGTTACCTAAAGCAACTCCACACTACGTCTTACGCGTACCAGAAGGGAGAGAGACAGGAGCGAATGGGAGAGAGAGAGAGATGTAATACGGTTTCCTGATAAACGTTTTGTTTGATAGGTGCTTGTGTGGCAAATGCTACCCCATGGCCTCAGCTGTGGAGAGTATGTGCTGCAGGGAGGTGGATGCACCTCGCACAACACACCCAGGAAGGAAAGCTAGCTCCGGTCCTTTTCCTGTTAAGGAAACTGTGGACTTGATGTCCTGACCGGCAGGAGTTTGTGCAACCTGCACAAACACAAGCTCACCATGAATGAAAATGGTGAAATGCAATGTAAAATTACCGAAAAAATACCAGCTCACTAAATCACAACCGCTCAAACTACTACCGCGGATTGGGCAGAGAAGGAGTCCGAGAAGTTGCTCCCCCAGGTGACGTAATATGACGCGTTTGACGTATGACGTTTTTAGTAGCAGAGCTCAAAACGGCTCCTTTCCCCTCTGAATTCTTGCCCTTATGTATTGTAAAACATATCAAATCCTGCATTAACTTTTTTAATTGTAATTTTCAGGCAAGGTTAAGCATAAATCTAGTAAAAAAAAAAAACCTGCAAGTTGCTCTTTAAGTTTGCTAGGAGGCTATTGTTACTTCCCTTAACAAGAGCTAGCTGTCTTAGCTAACAACAGTTAGCAGCTAACGTTTTCTGCTGTTTGTGTTTCCCCTGAAAAACCAACCCAGTCTCACGGCATTTCGTGTTAAAGTCACAACATTTAATCTATTGATTCGTGTTCACTAACAGGATTTCCCCCTTTTTTTCGTGTCACACAGAACGATTTTAAAAGCAATGTATTTCTATTGGTAGTATGTTTCGTGCCTGCACCACGTCTTTTTTATGCGGTCGGGTCTTGGAATACCGGAAGCTGTGTGGTTCATAAAAACATGTTCTTCTTACTCAATATCAAGCCACGATTATTGTTTTTATTTTAAATCATATAATGTCTGACTTTTTTTGCCGTCCGTGAGGAAAATAAATGGGGCTCAGAGCCTCAGAATACTGAAATCTGTATTTTTTTGGGATGTAACGATATATCGAATATCGCGATATCGCGGTAATTAAATGTCTCAATACCGTCGTGAGACTGACAAAATATACCGCGATTTTTTTAAACCTTTATTCAACCAGATGGTCCCATTGAGATCATCAATTTATTTTTCAAGGGAGACCTGTCCAACATGGCAGCAAGTAGGTTACAACATGAACATAAAACAACAGATAACAATAAAGGACATTGAATTTACAGGTCTACATGTACATACCTTGAGACATTGACAAGTACCAACAGTATATTTATATCTCGCCCTTTCAATAAGCCTCACCTTCTTGGCAAAAACTGTATTGTTTTTGAAGTGGTGGAGAGACAATGCACAGTTTTACCCACTGCTGTTACCCATGGCCAAAGCATATCTCTCTGTCCCAGCAACATCAGTACCAAGCAAGAGAGTTTTTTCCACAGCAGGGGATATTGTAAACGCCCAAACATCCCAGCTTCTACCTGGAAATGTGGACATGCTCATATTCCTAAAATATAACCTTGATGATGCTGAGTGAGTGAGTTAGAGTTGAGTTACTTGAAAAACTAAATTGAAACTTGATTTATTCTATTGCAGGGTCTGATTATTTTATTGTTGACACTTTAAAATACTACTATCCTACTAAAATGCTGTACAAATCAGATGTATTATTTAATAAAGAAAACAAATTCACATTTTTTTTCTTTATTTTTCAATATCGCGATAAATATCGTACCGTGGACTTTTTATCGCGATATTATCGTACCGTGAGTTTTTGGTATGGTTACATCCCTAGTATTTTTTTAATCTTTTTTTCCTTCTAATTTGTTATTCTTTTCTAAATAACACACTGTTATTTACTCAACAATAACACACAATTATCCTTGTTTTTATTTATTTGTTTAATTCTATAATCTCTGGCTTTTTTGGCGTAAATCAGGAACTGAATTTCAAAATAAAATAACCGGAAACGGATACACACCCACTGAACTGATTACCCAAGATTCTCAGCTATGGTTTAAGCTCGGTGATTGGATGGTTTAGCCGCAATGCACGTTAGGATATGGTGTTAATGCGATATGAAATCCGAAAAACATTTTAAAAAATAAATAATAATACTTTAATC